AGATTTCTGTTAGTTTTATAGACTGAGAAGTTGCAACCTCACGGAGGTTAAGCAACTTGCTCAGTAGTGGGACCCATCACTCCAACACAAGTGTCCTGGCTCAAGCCAACCACATAACTGGAAAGCAGGGAGCTATAATCCCTGCCTTGTTTATTAGGTTTTCCATCTATCTTATTCACCTAATATACTTACAGGTCCTTAAAAAAAGCAACAAAAAACCCTCTAATTATGGAAAAGTTTAACCCTATAGAAAAGTAGACAGAATAATGACCCCTTAGAGGCCCTTTTAATTCAACCCAGAATCGGTTGCATTTACAGCTGCCAAAGGTTCAGGGTACTGAATGAAAGGGAAACATGAACTTGCCAGCTCCCTTTTCTTTCTTAAAACAAAAAAGATATTCAGGGCAAATTTTAGAATCATTGACGGTTTCTAGAAAGATTTTCTTTTTTGGAAGAAAAAAGGTACTCTTGTCTCCTTAATTGTTCTTAGTGTTCTTTGTCACCAATCATGATATTCTTTGTGGAAAGTATTAATATACCATCTTCCTGTGTTCAATATTCCCATTAACAATAAAAAGTCTAATGAACATATCTGCATGAAAAGCCCTGAGCACTAATTTCAGAGACAAATAAAAGATGAACCAATAAGTGTTTCTTCTGAAATGAATGATGCAAATTAATTGATATCTTAATGAGGCTTAAGCATGAAGATTATTAGTTAGATTGAATTAGAACTGAAAAACATCTTTAAGGAAAAGCCGAGGGCACAGCACCCAGGGAGAAAGACATTCTCTGTCAGTGTTTGGTTAGAAATTTCTTTTGCTCAATGAGACAGTTTCAAAGAGGGAACTGCTTTATGTATCAGTCCCTGTTTGCCCTAATCTGGCCAGGTTTGGGGACTGAAGCCCAGTCCTCTTCCCAGGTATAGGAAGTTTTACCCCAAGTGATAATACCACTACCATGCTGCAGACTCCTTCCTTGATCTCTCTAGAATAAAAATCTTGCGAGGGCAGAACCATCCTCAATTTTGTTTGCATCTGTAACCCCAGTCCTAGCTAGGGACCTGACTTAAAGCAATAATAATAATGTAACAGTAGTGGCTGTGGCCCATGCCTATAATCCCAGCATTTTGAGAAGCCGAGGAAGGAGGATCACTTGAGTCCAGGAGCTTGAGACCAGCCTGGGCATCATAGCGAGATCTCATCTCTGCAAAAAACAAAAACAAAAACAAAAACACGAGTCAGGTGTGGTGGCATGCACCCATAGTCCCACTTCTTGGGAGGCTGAAACAGAAGGATCACCTGAGCCCAGGAGGTTGAGGCTGGGGTGAGCCATGACTGTGCCACTGTATTCCAGCCTAGATGACAGAGTGAAACCCTGGCTCAATGGTAACAACAACAACAACAACAAAAACAACAACAACAACAACATAACAGCAAGAAACTATGTAGCGCTTATGTGTTCTGGGTATTGTTCCAAGCACTTTCCTTAAAATAACTCGGTTAAGCTTCATAACAACAATGTGAGGTAGGGACTATTAGTATCCCCACTTTGCAAGTGAGTATATTGAGACACAGAGAGGTTGGGCAACTAGTCCAGGATCACACAGCTAATGATGGTGGATTAAGGATTCGAACCATAGCAGTCTGGCTCCAGAGTCCTTGCTCTAACCACTGTGACATATTGACAAGTGTTCAATATGTATTCCTTGAATTAAATGAACAAAAGGGTACTGTGATTGTCTGATCTTGACTACTGGGTATCTCTCTAGCTCCTAGTTAAGTTGCCAGCAGGTCTAGAACTTTATCCTACTCTGTACTGGATCCTGCCAGCCTCCCTTTGGGGTAGGGGCAGGGAGGCTATAGATGTTTCCTGTATTCCTAAGAACTGGTTCCTGTCCTGTTTCAACCTGGGTAGCCTATGAAAAAAATTGTCCCTACTGAGGGGATTCCATGGCTATGGCCTGGTCTGCCATCCAATTGACCTGGCCCCCTAATATCCAGGCCAGCTTAGTTTCCACCAAGTTTGCTTCTGTGGTCATTGTGAGTCGCAGGGCCATTGTCACTCTGTGTCTGCAGTGACTTTATGGCATGCCTTACTGCAGGGGCTCTTGGGTAATGATGACTTGTAGGGTGTAGTTTTATGGGGTTCAAAATGCTTATCAGGTACATTTTATTCAGCAAGAGAACATCCCCTGGGGAGGGTTCCCCGACAGCATCTACCTGTAAAAGGCAGTCAGAAGTAGAACCCTGGGAGTGAGCTGGGGGGTGGGATGGAGGGAACCACAGAAATTATTCTTCCCATCATCCAGAGAGGGCTCCTTATTGCAGTGGAGCTGATGCGAGAGACAGAGTGTGAATCCAGTCTGCGTGGTATGGGAGGGTATGTGGTTTGGAGTTGGGGACAAGGATGGGAGACCTACATCTATAATCCCCCAGCTGAGAGACTGTGCCATTCACCTCTCTAGGCCTTGCTCTCCCCATCTACAAAATGGGGATAATGCCTGGTTCACACAACGATTGTGAGCTTCACAAGCTTCAAAATGTTTTTCACTCAGAACTTGCTCCACAAATGAGGGGGTAACAATGACCAAGGCCTCCTGACACTGAACTCTGCGGTGTCCCTTCAGTCTGCTCACTCCTCCTGCTTGTCAAACATGGATGCCGTGCTCTCACTACACTGACTGAAGTGTAAGTCCTGTGACTGAGACGGTGCCTGGGAATCTGCATTTTTAACAAGCTCGCCCACCAATTCGAATGTACTCTACTGCTTAGACCCACTCAGCAATAGACAACACCAACACAAAGGAAGGGGTCTGGGTTGGATTAGTACTTCCTCTTCTTCCGGCCATGGTCCAAAACCTGAGACCTAAATCAATTTGGGTGACACCGTCTTTGTGGCTGGTGGAATTTGGGGGCAGCTAGGCAGGGCCATGTGGCTACAGCTGCTGCTTCCTGCTGGACACTCAGAGGAGGGAAGGGGGTGAAATGTAGCAAAAACTCAAGCCTCCTCCCACTTAAGTGGGCAGACCGAGGGCCACACCTAAGCAGGTGGCCCTGGTAAGCTCTGTTGGCTTAGCAGTCTTGGCTGACAGCTACCACCTGTCACCTGCCACCTGCTCTGCTTCTAAGCTGAGCTGCCGATGCCAAACCCATGTTGGTAGCACAAAGCCTAAGTGAGAGTTCTGACCTGAGTATGGGGGGTGGGGAGGAGAGTGGGGTGGAGTGGGATGAGGGTCTTCGGGCTTGGCAGAGAGGCAGACGGATGGTCCCAGGATTCTGAAATCATCCCATCCATAACTGCTTTTGCATTCTGGCCCCAGAACTGCCAAGTGGGAATTGCCAAGTGGGAATTCCAAATTGATTATGGGAAGCCCTGGATGTGTGGGGGGGACTGGGAACGTGACCTTCAGAACCATCCTCCTTCGTGAGTGTTTCACCCCTGGGATGGCTGGGAACTCCCACGTCCAGAAAATGGCAATGCGCTAGACTGGAGGGAGGTGCCAGACCTTTCCCTTTTGTGCCCTCTGCTCTCATCCCTGCCCCGAGGGCATGAACACCCCTAGCTCTGTCCCTTTGGGTGTTTATGGTGTTTCCCAAGCTCTTGGCTGGGCCAAGGATACTTGGTCAGGGAAGTGTGTGGAGTAATGGAGACGGGCTCAAGCACTGTCCAAGACGCTGCTGCTTGAGTCTCTCTTGAGAAAACCACTTCACTTCCAGGGCCATGACCAGGGATGCCTACAAGGAGGGCTGTCCACCTGAGCTTCCTGGGAAGGGTCTTGTCATTGGGGTGGTTGCCAGGGTAACTCCTCCCACCTGTCACCCTCAACTCAGTGGCTGCAAATGTCCCTGCTGTGTTCAGGAGAGTCAAGATCTAGTTCAGATTGATACCCCTTCCTCCACCCATAGCTCTAGAAGCCCCTTATATTTGTGGAATTCTCTTTGTTTTTCAAAGTGCTCTCAATATGTTCTTTCATCACAATAGCAGCATAAAGTCAGTAGCAAAGTTCCCACGTTATAAATAAAGACAAAATGCCCAGAGGGGCTCCCGGTGACATGACAGAGGTCCTTGAGCTGGTAACTAGCCATAATCCAAACGTAGTATTTCTAGTCCTGAGTTTCCACCGTCTTAAGGGGTTGACATTTTTGGACACTCTGCAAAAGTCATCAGCAGGTGTTCTAGGCATAGATTCGTAGATGTTTGAGGCTAGCGTGGACTTCCCCAGAGTGCACTGCCAAGCACTTGTGAACAAGAGACTCAATAATCAAACATGATTGGGAAAGAAATGCATATGATATAAGCATATTAGGACAGCAAAAGCTCTAAAATCCCTTCAGTGAGAAGTGCATTAATTCAGTTCAACCCAGAGTGTCCAGCACTTGTTGGGCAGTAGAAACTTTCCCCCACATAATGCCCCCTAATAATCCACCAAATCTGAGAAAACTCTTCTGGAGAGGTGGCCAGGCTCCTCCACCTCACAACAACAAAGAGACAAAGAGGAGGGGCAGCCCTTGTTTCCTTACAAAGAAAAAGAAATTGCCGTGCCTCGTGCCTCCTCAGGAGCTCCAGGACTTCCCCTGGCTAGTTCTGTCCCCTGTACGGCCCACAATTCCCCCCCAGTCCACTAGTCCAGGGGTGCTGGAGCCAATTGTTCAATTTTCAGAAATTGTGTGAGTTAGTTGTTAAATCTTCGGTAGCTTGAAATTAACTGTGGAGGGGGAATTTATGTATACCACGAAAATCAGCAAATACTACGAATTAGGGCTTTCCTGCCCCTCTTCCTGAGATCTGGGTTACCAATGCACCACTGGCCCTAGGACACTTTGAAATTGTTAGGAAACTTGGGAGAGATGTGACAATTGACTGCTGTGAGCAACCAGGCACAGGAGTCCTCTCTCCCCCTAGTTTCTGACCCTCCTGAAAGAGAACTGAGAACTGCACACAGACTGTCTTTGGCTACAGCACTAAATGAGTCAGAAAGGGCCTCTTGGCCTGCTTACGTTGATATCTGCGACCAGCCAGTGTCTCCAGTATTTGAACCTGGGGTCTGCCCTGCTCGGGGCATCTGGATCCACCATCATCAGGATGTAGGTTGAGCCCTGTAACACACACACCAGAAAGGAATGTAGCATCATGGCTAGAAGTCTGTTGGAAAACACTAAGGGGGTAGATTCTCATGTTCCCACCATTCCAAGCAAGAACGGACAACCGGCTCCTCTCGCTTCCTTCCCAGTTCATCTTTGTTCTTATGACATCCCTCTCGTGTCACGTACTTATTCTCAGAAAAATGAAGTCTGTGAAACAGACAGTGGGACTCTTGGCTTTCCCTTTGTGAGAAAGAGTAAATCCAACACGGCATATATCTGAGACCCCAGGAGCCCTTTCTCTGGGTGCTGTAGAGGAAACAAAGAAATCTGAAAAAGGGCTACTGTCCTCAAAAAGCTTCCAGCATAGTTGGAGTGACTTACCTATCAATTTAGCAGATCTATGAGAACTATTCTGTGTCCAGAACTATGCCAGTTGCAAGGGACAGGAGGATTCATTCATCCTTTCAACAAGCATTTGCTGAATACCTACTATGTGCCAGAAGCTACTCCAGGTGCCAGAAAGCCAACAGAGGGCAAGACAGTAAGAGTCATACCTTCAGGAAGCTTTTATTCTAGGTATGAGACACAGATAATAAAAATAAATAAACAAGCAAGGAAATATCAAGTTGTGAGTCATGCTATGATAAAAAATAAAACACGGTGGGACGAGAGATGGGCAGCATTTCAGGAGGAGAAAGTTACTGCGATGGTCTTCAGGCTTTAAGGAACAGAGAGAGTGTCATTGTGGTTGGGGACAAGCAGTGGGGAGGGTGGATATGGCAGGTGGGAGAGGTGGGCAGGGACCAGGCCACAGAAGACTCTCGAGGCCTGGGTGAGGAGTGGGATTATATTCAAAGTGCAGCAGAACTGTTACAGGGTTTTAGGCAGGACCGTGATGTGCCCTGATTTATGTTTCTAGGAGGTTGTTTTGGCGGTGGGGTGGAAAATGAATTGTTGGCAGAAGGCCAGACAGGAAGCCAGGAGACCAGTTAGAAAACTCTCGCAGTAGTCTATGAAGGATGATGGTATCTTGGATTAGGATGGTAGCAATGGAGATAGAAACAAAGAAATGGACTGGGGGAGTATTTTTAGGCAGAATCAACAGGGTTTGGTGATGGATTGAATGGTAGGGCAGTGAGGAAGGGCTGGAGGAAGAGAAATTGAGACTGACTCCCGGGTTTTTGGCTTAAGCAGCTGAGCCATTTAATAACACAGAGAAGACTTGGAAAGGAAGACGTATGAAAGGGGACATTGAGAGTTCTGATTTAGACACGGGAAGTTTGAAATGTCTTTCCAAAGACAATCAAGTACATATTTAGAGTCTAAAGTTCAGGGATAAGATTAGGACTAGGTGTATACATTTGAGAGGCATTGACATTTAGATCGTTTTTAAATCTGTAAAGCAGACACAGAGAAGAAAAGAGGTCTCATGACTGAACTCTAGAACATGCTAATATTGAGAAGAGAGGAGGAACTGGGAAAGGGGACTGTGGAGTCCGAAAGGGTGGGAACATCTGGAGAACAGGCACCATAAAGGTCGAGACAGAAAGTGTTTCAAGGAGGAGAAAGTGATTAACTGTGTTGAATATGAAAAGTAGGGTCAGATAAGAACACAGATGTGACAATCTGATTCAACCACTTGGCAATCACTGTTATCTCGACAAGCTCACTTTTAGCAGAGTGGAAAGGACTGATATTTGATTAGAACAATTGAGCTGAGATAGGGTATGAGGAACTGGAGATAGCTACTAAACATGAAAATTAAAAAGCGGGCCGGGCGTGGCGGCTCACACCCATAATCACAGCACTTTGGGAGGCCGAGGGGAGAGGATTGTCTGAACCCAGGAGTTCAAGAGACCAGCCTGGGCAAATTGGTGAGATCTCATCTCTATAATAAATCAAAATATTAGCCAGGTGTGGTGGTGCATGCCTAGAGTTCCAGCTACTTGGAAGACTGAGGCAGAAGGATTGCCTGAGCCCAGTAGGTCGAGGCTGTGGTGGCAGGGAGTGTGCCACTGCCCTCCAGCCTGGGTGACAGAGTGAGACTCCCACTCAAATAAAATAAAATAAAATAAACAGGAAGTCTTGGTGTGAAGGACAGCTTAGACGTAGAGTGGCTGTTACTAGAGAGGAAGGTTTTTTTTTTTTGTTTGTTTTTTTTGAGTTGGGGTC